CCCTGGCTGGGTAGTTCCTCTGGGTAGAGCATCTTCCTCATACACCACGGATGCAGGTTCAATCGCTGGTCAGGGCACACACAAGAATCAACTAATGAATGCCTAAATAAGAGGAACAACCAATCAATGCTTCTCTCTTGCGCGCGCGCGCGCACTCTCTCTCTCTCTCTCTCTCTCTCTCTCTCTCTCTCTCTCTCTCTCTCTTCCTCTCTCTCAATGTCTCTAAAGAAGAAGAGCTACTTTTGATTTCTCTGCAACCTTGAGATCTCCAAGGTGGACAGAGAAGGTGCTTATATTGGGTGGAAAAGGGCTGAGGAACGGCCAGGCAGTGAAGTGTCTGGGTGCTGGGGACAATTGGGATTCTTCCTCCCCTTGTCGTAAGACCCCCCCAAGAGGAAAGAGACAAGTGTCCAGACTCCAACCTGGCCTCCATCTACCTGAAAAGGCTTTATCTGATCTCTATACAACTGGCTGGAGCCATCACACCAAAGAGGAAGCAAGACCCACCCTGGACAGCAGCCAACAGCACCCAGCAGACATCGCGCCCGCCCAGCAGCGCCATGCCGCCTCTCCCTTCTCACCAGCCCGCTTTCCACCCTCTCTGCTTGCAACACAGGACACATAGGCCAGTGGAAGTTGGACAGCAACTTCCTAACTTCCTTTTAATTTCCAAGGCTTCTTTACTGCAGACAGCCTCCTTATATAGCTATTTTATATGTTATAAAGGTATGACAGACAAGTGAAATGTCCATTTAAGAGTTCAATAAAACTCATGACCTGTATTCCAACTTCACATCATGAGTTGGAATCATTTCAGTTTGAGACACAGAAAGTCTCTGAGACAAAACATGGCCCAGAGCTAAGAAAGGCAGAAACAGGAACCTCCCAGCCTTCTCTGCAAGCTGGGCAGAAAAGTGTGGAAAAGCGGTGGCCAAGGCCGGCCAGGAGTCCTGGTGCCTGAGGGCAGGCTGCCTCGCTGTGGATAACCATAACATGGCCTGGAATTCGGAGTGGACAGAGTCCTTTTACACGGATTATTAACCTGAGAAAAGTGTGTGGGGGAGATGGAGGTGGGGAGGGGACCCTTCTTTCCAGGACAAAAACCTCCCTCTGGGTAAAAAGGACAGGAAAGAAAGGCACAGAGCCAAGGCTAGCTCCCCAAGAGCAGGAGGACTGTCCTGCTTTCTTCACTGCTCTGCTGAGAACAGTGCCTGGCATACAGTGAGGTCTCAGTACACATTCACTGAATGAATGAATGAATGAATGAATGAAACCTTGAATTTTCAGAAGCTTTTACAATTAAGTCCACGGGGAGAAAAATCAAATGAGCAAGTCTGAATTTGGAAAAACTCAAAATGAGTATTAAATAAATATAGCTTCTAGATTTCTATGATTACAAATGCACTCAAGAAAAGCCTGCAAAGCCCACAACAAAGTTCCTGTGCCTTTCACTGGTGCATGCGCAGTGTTTAATCAGGCTGCTCTCCAGCCGCTCCTTTTCTTAGCACCTCTTCTGCAATCCTGGGCAGGAGGCAGGATGAAGACCTGACACTGCAGGCGCCCTAGGCCAGGTCCCTGCATGAGTGGCAGTGAACCCAGAGCCATTTTCATCATGGATGGAAGGAACCAAATAAATCACTTTGCTAACCGCCTTGCCTCCAGAAAGCAATGCATTTGAGCCATTCCAAACCACAGAGTTCCTCTATTTTCATGAGTTCTCCTTGTATAAAAAAGTCTCTAAATGCGAGATTTTAGGTAAGTTAGTCAATCCCATTGGTATATCAGTTTTCTTGTCTCTGAAGAACATAGAAACAATAACTACTCTTTGTGACTGTTGTGAAGTCTGAGAAAATACATGGCCCAGTGCCTGATACACAGTAATGCTTGATGGAGCTGGTATGCTCACCTCAAGGAATGCTTTATTCTTTTATCTGAAAAAGAGTAAGGCGTGGCCTGAGACCTTTTGTCGTGGGCACTGGCCTGGACTCGGTCTGAGCAGGTCTCAGTCCTGAGTGAATGCACCATCTGCTATGCCCGCACTCCTGGGCGTGTCAGCCTCCCTGACAGCGCCCGGCGCATCAGCTCCGGGACCAGTGCTGACACTGAGATGCACTTTCTCCTCGTGTGTGAGAAGGCACCCTGCTCCTCAGTATGAAAAGGTGTTCATAATTAAAGACTGCAAACGCCCAACATAAACAAAATCACTGGGCCTGGCATGCTGGCATCCGGCTTGACGGGGTGGATACAACTGGCAGTGAGCGTGGTGCGATGGGAAGAATGCTACACCACAGTTCAAGTGCTGGTTTGCCACTTTTAGCTGGGTAACAAGTTACTTCACCTCTCTGGCCCCCGTGTCCTCTTTATAAAGCGGGGACATGTACTAGATCAGTTCCTTGATTAAAAGTTCCTTTTTGGCTCCAAGACAGTGACTCCATGGAAGGGTTAAAGCCAAGAGAATGGCTGCTGGCAGGGTCAAAGTGGACATGAAGGGGACTAAGAACAGAAGGGAAAACCATGGGTTAGTAAGTGAAAGGATTAAGCCAAACAGTAAGTCAAACAGCCCCTATGACGGCGCAGACAGGGAGGAGGACGAGCTGGGTTGGATGCCCAGGAAAAGAGTGGTTCAGACAGATTCTAAAGGACCAGTAACTTGGAGGACTGCTTATCTTTGGACTTGTAGTACCAGTAAGAGCCTTTTCTTTAGGGACTTGGGGGCTGAAGGAAAGCATCTGCTGAGCTGAGGGAGAAAGAGTGTAGAACTCCCAAATCAAACTCTATTGTTCGGGTACTGTGTAGCTATAAACTATCGTACCAGATGTTAAGAGCTCAAACTCTGAAGATGGGCTGTCTGCATTCAAATTAGGGTTCCATTACCTAACTACCTTGGGACCTTCGGCAAGTACCTCAGTGTCTTCATCTGTTAAATAGGCATAAAACCAGAACCTATCTCATAGGACTATCATGAAGATGAACCAATACATAGAAAGCCCTCTGAACAGGGCCTGGCATCTGGCCGGCTTGTTTGTTTCCTGCTGCAACAAGGGATGCTTACATGGCTCACCACAGGCCCTGCATGCTCCTCAAGAGGAGTGAGGGGCAAGCTTTCCTGCCCAAGGCTGAAAGCTAGAAAAAGAACCTCATTTCTGTTGCCTTCTATTTCCCGGGAGGAGTCGAGACGAAAAACGACCAGTGTCAGGAGGACACTGACCACTTTCCTCACAGCTCCTGCTGCCCCGTCCTTCACAGGAGCACCGGATGACCCTGGGAAAGCTGACAGGCCAGCCCTTAAGGAAGCCATGCTCTCCAGGCCTCTCCACGGCACTCCCCTCCACGTTTACTTTAGAGTAGGGGTGTCGAACTCAATCAGAGAAGGGGCCAAAATCTAAAATCCAGCCTAAATCGAGGGCTGAATGGTTTACTGAACAGTCATAAACTGTCATTGTGATGGAAACGCAGCGGAGTGCAGTGATGACAGCTTGGTGCGGGCCACATTGCAAGGCCTGGCGGGACGGATTTGGCCCGCGGGCCTTGTGTTTGACACATGTGCTTTAGAGGGACTCCCACGTAATCCAAACCGAAAGGCATTGTGTTTTGGTAGCACAACATTACAGATGACAATTTAACATTTTTACTCTTTGGGTCTTCTCAAATTAATTCTCCCCAATATATTTCTAGTTGCCCCTTATATAACGTCACGTTCTTAAGTTTCCTTCCAGATGCTCAGCAAACGCTGTTAGTTTACAAGTCTACCGCTTCCCAGAATCATCACACATGGGAAAATACGGTGCGTCAACATCCATGTTACAAGTGAAAGCAGCCCTCGAACAGAATCAACAACATTTTAAGACCTAGCCACACCCTTCCAACACTCTTTTTTTATAACTGAGCTCCAAGGACTCATTTTACTTCCATCTGCAAGGCAAAATATTTATTTGGAGTGAACCAAAAAATCAGGGTTGTTGACAAGACTCTAACATTTTTTTTTTTTTTTTTTAAATTTTAAAACGCTGATTTAGAAAATGAGCAATCATTGTCTACTGACTATTATTCTTAACTCAACAGTCTACGGAGATTCACTATAGGACAGAGAGAAAGACCGTAACTGCCATCACCTTTGCCCTAAAATCCACTGACTTCATCTCCTGTGCCCATGGGCAGAGATGCTTCTCAGGGCCGGGAGGGGAAGAAAGGAGAGGAGCTGGGCGTCTGAGGATCAGCACAGATCGGCCTGACTGAAGGGATCCGCTGGCTTTCCCCCATGTGCTCTGGACTTTCCTGCTCAGAGTTAAAAACTTCATGTTTTTTGAGCTTTGTTGATGACACTTCAAAAACAACCTTCCCAATAAATACAGGAAGTTATATTTGAAATTTAAAACTCTAAGCATGTGAGCTAATTTAAAACAACAACTACAACTCACAAGCCCAAGGTTTTGATTTATGATGTTCCCTTCCTCTGATTTTGATATAATTTTGGAAATCTTTCCGTGATTTCCTCAAGTGTACAACAAAAGATTTCTAAGGAGACCAAGCCAAGGGATGATTTTTACGACTTATTAGGTCTTGCTTAAAGACTGGTATTATGACTATTGTCCTGGCCAGTGTGAGTTAGTTGGGCGTTGTCCCATGCACTGAAGGGTTATGGGTTTGATTTCTGATCAGGGCACATGCCCAGGTTGTGGGTTCGATCCCTAGTTGGAGTGTGCACAGGAGGCAACTGATGGATGTTTCTCTCTCTCGTCCTCCCTCCCTCCCTCTCTTTGCTCTAACCACTGAGCAACCATCCAGGGCCCAGGCAAGTTTCTTAATCTCTCTGGGTCTTAGTTTCTCAATCTGCAAAATGGAGAAAATAAAATCTATCCCATAGAACTTTAGTGCATATTGAATTAAGTGAGACAATACAGGAAAAGTGTCCCTCATGAGATGTCAATAAATGTTACTTCCTTTCCTAACATGCATCGTCAAGAAGGCTGTATCTCATACGTAGTAAACACAGCATCTACCTGGAAAGGATCTGTCTTCATCGCCCCCATGCAGAGGAACTCCCTTATTTTCTGGCATATATTTCTTGGTAATGGGCAAGGACATCAGCCGGATGTGATGGACGAGTGAGCGCCAGGTATACGCTCCAGAAAGCACTGGTTCAGGTTGTAATGGGCTGAAAGGTTGAATCACAAAGTAGGCAGTGAGCAAGATTAATCCCAGGGTTGCAAGGACCTACAAGGAAAGACAGGGAAATTATTAGTACTTATCCCAGCAAATAAAATACTTTAATGCCAAGAAAATAACAGGCCTCATCTACTATTAGTGCTTTAAGGACTAATCCATTTTCATAAATAAGCCATTTATATTCACTTTTTAAAGCACTTAAAAGTCTGAGAACCAAGAGGACTGCATGGCTCACCAAGCTGCTATCATATAACCAGGGGTATGTCCACCACTAAAAATACACACAAATATAATTTAAATATAAATACACAGCTTTCATTTAAGACAGTTAACAAAATACTCAAATTTCCTCGTAACACATGTTAACAAGAGCGAAGGCCAAGGTTCGACAGTGTAATCAGGCACAGTATACTGGGGGAGAAAGTTGAAGGCTTTGTGCTCTATCTAAGTGTTGCCAAGTCAGAAGCCATTCTTACCTTATACACAGCTGTAAGGAGAGGGTTCTGGTGGGGCCCCCTCTGAGGTTCATTCTTTTCCAGCAGCTGTCTGATAAATTTTTCAATTGCCTTCTCGGACATGCCGCATTGATGGCCTGTCTGTCTCACCAAATCAACAGTCTCTGAAAGTTTGTCATAAATGCTGATCTCATTGGCAGCAAGATCCATGTCTTCCAATGCAAAATCCCTGAGGGAGAGAAAATAAATGTAAAGAGAAAGATAGTTTCTTTAAATTTCTCTCTCCTCAAAGCTGCTTGCTTTAGAACTGTTTTTTGACTGTCCGTGGGAAAGAACTGGTTCTGTGCTTTTCCCAGTCCACTGCAGGCCAGTACTTCTATAAAGTACAATGACGATATGAGACAAGGTTAAGTTGCCAAGCAAGTTTTTTTGTATGGCTCAAATGTAGGCTGGTAACAAATGGTTTACAAACAAAATACTTTGAGGAGCACTGGCCTAGAGCCCAATAAATCCCGAGGTGGACTCTGAAACATCAGTGCCATCCAAAATGACTTCTGAATCTCTTCACAAAAGATCTGCTGGTGGTAATTTACTAAAATAAAAAGAAATGGAATGTGGAGAATGTTGTTATCAATTATTTCTTTCCATTAATACCAGATAGACCAGTGAAACAAACAAACAAACTTCCAAGGCCGAAAGGCTTTTTGTAAGTGACTTTTATTAAGACTAAAAGGCCAGCTAAAAGGAAGACCAGTCTTGGGGCATGGAGTTTAAACCCCCAGCAGCATAACTGGGTGGAAGAGACAGCACACGGCTTGTCCAGAGTTTTGCAAGCATTTTTATCAAGCAGGGGGACGGGAAGAAGAAAGAGGTGGTCTGGAAGAAGCTTACATTAACTATGAGCAAAGGGATGGGAGAGGGGGAGGGAGCCAGTTCTGGGACAGTGGCAGAGTCTACATACAGAAGCGTGCGCTCTTGCAGACTGGCTGTGGCAATAATCTGAAAACAACAAGCGAGGCTCCTGGACTGTCAGGGTAGCCTGACTAAAATAATCTGTGCAAGCCGAAACCGGTTTGACTCAGTGGATAGAGCGTGGGTCTGCGGACTGAAAGGTCCCAGGTTCGATTCCGGTCTAGGGCATGTACCTTGATTGTGGGCCCATCCCCAGTAGGGGGTGTGCAAGATCGATGTTTCTCTCTCATCGATGTTTCTAACTCTCTATCCCTCTCTCTTCCTCTCTGTAAAAAATCAATAAAGTATATTTTTAAAAAAAGAAAAGAAAAAGTTTGGCAGTGCCTCAAGCAAGCAGGGGATAATGTTCATTTAAATACACAAAAATAAATTACCCAATAATACCTAGTCAAACTCCATTAAAGCTCATTAGACCAGAAAAGAGAGCAGAGGGAATTCTAGGGGGGGAAAAAATTCAGTAAAGCTTTTTAAAGTGTAGGAGATGGGGCAAATGTAGGTATACCCCAGGCAGAAGAGAACATCACATGGGTGAATCCTTAGGACAGAGTGCTGGTAAGGCTGAAAGGAGGACCAATTGTCATCATTTCTGATGGCTGCTTTACAACTTTTGTAAATCTCCGCCCATTTTTGATACACATAAAAATCTACTAAACTCCCAGTTTAAATCGCAAAAGCAATAGTTTCTTTTTTTGAAATTCAAATATACAATGATGTTACGATACTGAATATATTTCTGCAATCTGCTCATCCTTCCCTGATATTCTTTTTAAAAAATGTTTTCATTGATTTCTGAGAGCAAGGGAGAGGGAGAGAGAAACATCAATGATGAGAAAGAATCACTGATCGGCTGCCTCCTGCACGCCCCCTACTGGGGATGGAGCCTGCAGCCCGGGCATGTGCCTGACCATGAAAGGAACCATGACCTCCTGGTTCATGGGTCAGTGCTCAGCCACTGAGCAACACCAGGCAGGCCTTCTTCCCTGACAGTCTAACACCAGGCCCAAAGTTAATGGAAAGGTACTTATAATTTAGTGAAATTGATAATAAGCCCTCCTTTTGACTTCCATTAGGTCAGTGGTTCTCAACTAGGTGCAATTCTGCCCCTGGAGGGCCTTAGGACAGTCTGGAGACATTTTAATTGTTACACTTGAGGGATACTACTGGCATCTAGTGGATATGAGGTTAAACAACAAAAATCTTCTCTCTAAGTCAGGGTTTCATACTATCAGAGCAGCTCCCTCCCTGTGATCTAGTGAAAGTCAGCCTTCAATCGTAAGAGTCTGGCCCAGTGGATAGAGCGTGGGCCTGAGGACTGAAGGGCCCTGGGTTAAATTCTGGTCAAGGGCACGTACCTTGGTTGTAGGTTCAATCTCTAGCCATGGACAGGGGGTGTGTGGTAAGTAACCAACCAATGTGTCTCTCTCACATTGATGTCTCTCTCTCTGTCTATCCCTTCCCTTCCACTCTCTCTAAAAATCAATGGAAAAGTATCCTTGGATGAGGATAAACAAAGTTTGTATGAAAATAAAATAATATCCCTTCAAAAAAATCAAACACAAAGTCTTGGCTATGTACCAAGTATAAGGGGAATGAGTGAAATCAGCTGCAGGCTTGAGGGCAGAAAGGTCTAGAAGGGGAAGTTCCGAAGAATGACTCTGACTCTTAACAGTGCCTAACACCTGCAAGGGCACAGCAGGGACACGAATAGCGGCACACAAAGCCAAGTTTCCCGCACGCACACCTGGACATGCTGGCTGTCAGCACCTCTGGGAGGGACCCAGGGCCAGAGGTTTTCAAACCGCTTCCTGCTGACCAGAGACACACCCCCAACTAGGAGACACTGCTTTGAAACAGTTTTCAACTACGGGTGATTCTACTCCCCAGGGACGTTCGGTGATATCTGAGGATTTTGTTTGTCAAAACTGAGGGGGTACTACTGGCATCCAGTGGGTAAAGACTAACCATCCTACAATGCACAGGCAGACCCCGCAACAAGGAACTGTCCTGCTCAAAACATTAAGAGAAACTGAGGTTGCAAAATCCTGCTTTCAAGAGGCCTGCGGGAGGGAAGCCAGGGAGCACTTCAAGAACAGGAGGAAGAAAGTGACAGCTCTGACGAAATGTTCCCCACAATTCCCTCTGGGTCTCAGTCTAGGAAAACACAGGGCAGAGGTGTAACAGAATGACTGATGGAACATATTAATATAAATGTTTGCTTAAAAGCAGGAAACAGGTTAAAAGGTCAGATTAATGGGAACCTCTCCTTTGCCGTATTTAATAGAGTGATACAAATATGCCCTAAATACTGATATGACATCAGCCTGGAGGTTCTCAGCTTGTAAACTAAGCAGATATGACAGCTAGGCAACTCTAAGAGGCAATTATGATTCATCTAGTTAAAAGCACAAAAGGGGAAACACTAGAGTTGAGAAATAAAGTTTCAAAAACCCATCTAAATATGTCCCAATCTTCAACAATGTGAGCAATATCCAGAGTAATATTACATTTTGTTTTTCCCCTACTAGGTTCTTTAGTATTATGCTAGCTACAAAGCATGCTAATCCATTCTTTAGTATTATGAATATATTCTATTATATTTTGTCCAATGATTCCCATTAATTTTCCCTCTACTACAGGGGAATAAATGGGACCTTTGAATTATAATAAAAACCACTAAAAAATATACATCTACACCATGGAATACTATGCCGCTATAAAAAAAAGAAGGAACTTTTACCATTTGCAGCAGCATGGATGAAACTAGAGAGCATTATGCTAAGCAAAACAAGCCAGTTGGAGAAAGATAAATATCACATGATCTCACTTATATGTGGGATATAATGATCAACATAATTTGATAGATCCAGAGACAAATGATAGGGGAGGGGGGGTTAGAGAGCAACCAAAGGACTTGTATGCGTGCACATTAGCATATCCAATGGACACAGGCACTGAGACGTGGGGGCTTGCCTGGCGTGGGAATGGCTTGAGGGGGAGGTCAACCAGGGAAAAGAAGACCTATGTAAAACTTTAGACAATAAAAAAACACACTAAAACTAGCAAACATCTTTAAAGAAAAATAATTATAAAATATAACTTTTTAAAAGAGTAGCAGCTTAAAGCTGCAATAAGTACTTAAAATTCATAGTCGAGAGAATTTTACTTTTTCACATTCTCGTCATCACTTGCCTCTGATGGCCCCTTTCTGGCCATCTCCTCCCAAAGAGATTGAAGAGCCTGGTACTTTTTTCACTCTCTGAAAATAAGCCTTTCCATTATTCTCCCAACTTTTTATGTTGAACATTTCAAGCCTCAGAAAAACTGAAATAGCACAATGAACATCTGTACGTCCTTAGCTTCACCATTTGTTAACACTTGGCCAGATTTGTTTTCTGTCTGTTTTTGTTTTTATCAGAACCATTTGAAAGTTAGTTGCGACATATCACTTCTAAATGTTTCAGCATGCATCTCCTAAGAATAAGGACATTATTATATAGTACATTAAGCATTATTATCATACCTATTAAAGTTGATAATTTTCTAATATTATCTAACTAGAGGCCCGGTGCACAAAATTCGTGCATGGGGGAGTGTTCCTCAACCCATCCTGCACCTTCTCAAATCTGGCATTCCTCTCACAATCCAGGACTGCTGTCTTCTAACTGCTCACCTGACTGATTGCCCCTAACCACTCCCCTGCCAGCCTGATTGATGCCTAACTGCTCCCCTGCCAGCCCAATTGCCCCTGCCAGCCTGGTCACCTTCAACTGCCCCTCCCCTGAAGGCCTCATCACCCCCAACTGCCCTCCCCTGCCAGCCAGGACCCCTCCCCTGCCAGCCTGGTTGCCCCTAACTTCCCCTCCTTGTCAACCTGATTGCCAGGCCTGGTCCCCCCCAAAATGCCCTCTCCTGCAAGCCTGGTTGCTCCCAACTGCCCTTCTCTGCTGGCCATCTTTGACCACATGGGGGCAGCCATCTTATGTGAGGCACAAGGGTCAATTTGCATATTACCTCTTTATTATATAGGATATCCACGTTTCATATCTTTTTGCTTTTGTACACTTAAGCGAAAACTATGCAGGCCAGACAGGAGTGGCAATAAATATTCAAAGTGATGAATAGCAAGAACCTACAACCAAGATTACTCTATCCGGCAAAGTTATTCAGATTGGAAGGTTAGATAAAGAGCTTCACAGATAAGAAAGAGCTAAAGGAGTTCATCACCACCAAACCAGTATTATATGAAATGCGGAAAGGTTCTCTTCAAGAAGAGGAAAAAGAAGAAAAAAATAAAGACAAAAATTATGAACAACAAATACATATCAACAAGTGAACCTAGCCGAAACTGGTTTGGCTCAGTGGATAGAGCGTCGGCCTGCGGACTGAGGGGTCCCAGGTTCGATTCCGGTCAAGGGCATGTGCCTTGGTTTCGGGCACATCCCCAGTGGGGTGTGTGCAAGAGGCAGCTGATTGATGATTCTCTCTCATCAATGTTTCTAACTCTCTATCCCTATCTCTTCCTCTCTGTAAAAAATCAATAAAATATATTTTTTTAAAAAACAAGTGAACCTAAAAATCAAGTGAATTAAAAATCTGATGAACAGAATAAACTGGTGAATATAATAGAATCAGAGGCATAGAAAGGGAGTGGACTGATAATTCCCAGTGGAAAGGGGTATAGGAGGTGCAGGAAGAGACTGGACAAAAATCATGGATGAGGACAGTGAGGGGAGAGGTAGGGCAGAGGGTGGGGTGGGAACCAGGTAGAGGGGAGCTATGGGGGGGGGGGGAAGGAGAAACTATTGCAACAATCTGAACAATAATGATTTATTAAATTAAAAAAAAAAGTTTTTCCATCCTAAGCGGCCTTTTAGGATATTAACTTAAATTGGTCAAAGCATCTTTGACCCTCCCTGGCTTTCCTGCCCTAAAAGTTTGAGATGAAAAAGGTTGCTTCAGGAAGACCATTGTTTTCTAGGCTGCCTAGCAAAAATGTACATATGTTGTATTCTTCCTTAATTACCTGCAAATTGCTCATTCTTACTTTTGAAATCTAAGATTCCACCCCTCCCCCTCTCCTAGTTCAAAATGACAAATATATCACTGTCTTTGAGAATTTCATGCTTATGTAAATTCCCTGTTCACATGTACTAACATGTTTATTTTCTGCTCAGCCACTGTGGTTCAGTGGTTGAGCACCAACCCATGAAAAAGAAGGTCAGGGTTCAATTCCCAGGCAGGACATACGTCAGGGTTTTGGGCTGGATCCCCAATGGGATGTGTGCAGGAGGCAGGGGATCAATGATTATCTCTTATCATTGATGTTTCTCTCTCTCCCTCTCCCTTCCTCTAAAATAAATTTTAAAAATGTTTATTTTCTCCTATTAATCTGATTCAGATGGGAAAACTTAGGAGATGGGAGGGAAAATATTATTTTATAGTTTCTATTATAGCCCCCACAATTTTAAAGTTGAATTTAGGTTAAGCCATGTTGTTCCTTTGAGAGAAATTGTGAAAACTCAAATGCAAGTTAATTTATTAAGGGAGACATATGTTCATGGACAATTCCACCATGGGAACAACCACATGAGCAACCAGATAAAGTCTTAATCGTATACTGGAGTAGTCTCTATTATAAGGTGAGGACAAAGCTATGTGGGCTCTTATTGGACCAGAAAAAGTGTGGCTTGCAGGGTGACTGGCCGTCAGAATACTATGGAACACCAGGAAGCCAATTTCCCTGCGCTGGAAGGCGATGACAACAGCTCAGGTCAATGAACCAAGTCATACATATTCCTAGTGTCCTCTTTAACAACTAGAAAGATGGTTCCGAGGGGGGCTGAAAAGAATCTAATCTCAATATACAAAAAAAATATTGTATATGTATATATATTAGAAATCTGTCAAAGGGCAGGGAAACCTCGACTTCGCTAGCACCTCTCATGTGTTGGACACTCCAGTGAGGCCTGGGAGACAAGCCCAAGCAGGGCGACTCGCTTTGCTCCCTCCGGGAGAACCAAGGGAAGCGGGGCGGCGTCTTAAGGGAGTGGGTCCGGGGGAGGGGGGAGAAAGGGGGTGTCGTCAGGGGATGCTGTCGGTCTGCAAAACTCCAGAGGCTCAAACAAGAGGTCAGCGAAGGGGCAAGAGGGGTCGGTAGCGGCAGGGGAGGGGCTGCGCGAGGATGTCACAGAGGGCGCGGCAGAGACAGGTCACGGAGCCACCTTCCCCACCCGGCCTTGGGCCCCTGACACTCACATACGTGGCCCGCGCCTCTCGGGCTCCTCCCGCCTCGGGGACCGCAGCCGCCGGGCGAGAAAGGGAAACCGATAACTTCCTGCTTCCGGCGCGCAACCCGGAAGCGACTCCAAGCTACAGGCGCGGCCGCACGCCTAGAGTAGCTCCGCCCGACTCAACACGTCAGATGCTGCGATTCCTCTCGCGAGATCTGAAGAGTGGGGTTCGCGCTCCCCCTGGCGTTCAGTTCTTCCTCCTTAATGCTTTCCGACTCGGGCTTGGTTCATTGACCAGTCTTCCTCACCTGCGCTAACATGGGTTCATTCAACAAGCATTTGTGAACCCCCTACTGCATGCCAGGCAAGGTGATAGGCACTAAGGGAGGGATAAGTAAATGGAGAGCAGGCCCGTACATCCGGAGCTTCTAGTCTAAAAAAGAGAAGGACAAACAGGTAACTCAAATTTACACCTGGCCCACTCAGTTTAAAAAAAAATTATTTTAGAGAGATGAAGGGAGAGAGCCAGAGAAACACCTGATGTGAGAGAGAAACATCAATTGGTTGCTTATTGCACGTGTCCTGACCTGGTTTGAATCACCACCAACTGAGCCACACTACCCGCCAAGGCTCAATATTTTTTAGGTCTACTCTGCCAGACATTGCTAAGCACTTTATATTCGGGAAACCGCCTCAACAACCTTATGACACAAATAGCCCCACAACATTCTCACACCAACCAAGTTCACGTTTATGAAAAGGTTAGCCTGCTGAGATTATCTATATAAAAACTGGTGGGATCATGACGTGAACCCAGGCTCCTTACCTTGCCCTGTTTTTAGTGCTAAAGAGCTTAGCTGCTTTCTATAGGATAGCTGCCAACAAAATGCTACTGTGGCAACTCACGAAGCCACAGATACCCAGGCTGTGTGATACTGATGCAGGAACAGGCAAACCAATAAAACAGAACAGGGAAACCAAAACCACGGTGCATGTAACTCATCTCTGTCTTTCCCAGTGCCTAGTGACTGGTAGATGCACCAGGAAAAGATTTAGGGGAAAGTGAGCTTTGCGCTGGCCTGTAAGGATTCAGACACTGGAGCCTGAGAATGAACATTTTAGGCACAAGATATAGGAGTGAGAAGATTCAGGAGGGAAGACAGGAGCACATTCTTAGATCCTGGAATGTCAACCTGGATGAGGCCAAAGTACTTACAGAGGAAAAACCAATCTTTATTTTTAAAATATATTTTATTGATTTTTTTTTACAGAGAGGAAGGGAGAGGGATAGAGAGTTAGAAACATAGATATGAGAGAAACATCAATCAAGCTGCCTCCTGCACATCCCATGTGCCCAGGTACAAGCCCTCGACAGGAATCAAACCCAGGACCCTTGAGACCACAGGATGATGCTCTATGCACTGAGCCAAACCGGCCAGGCAAAAAAACAATATTTAAATATCACTTTGGCGTAGTAAGGAAAGCCTTTAATGCTGGGACTCTGATCTGTGGGCAATGGGAAGCCACTGAAGCTTTTTGAGGAAGGGTGTGAAATTATCAGAACTCTGCTATGGACACATACATACATCTAGTAGAGGATGAAGGCTACACTGGAAAAGGAAAAATTAATTTTGAAAAGTTCAAGGGAGCCCAGCTGGTGTGGCTCAGTGGTTGAGCATGGTCTTCTGATTCCTGGTCAGGGCACATGCTCAGGTTGTGGGCTTGATCCCAGTGTGGGGCATGCAGGAGGCAGCCGATCAATAATTCTCTCTCATTATTGGATGTTTCTGTCTTTCTCTCCATCTCCCTTCCTATCTGAAATCAATAAAAATATATTTGAAAGTTCAAGGGAAAAACAACTTTGACAGTCTAGGAAAAAGGAATGGGCGAATGAGAACCCACTTAAGAAACATTTCCCAGGTGAAACAGATCAGAAAGGCTGGCAGGTTGTAGAAAAGGCTCAGAAGACAGCAGGGGAGAAGCTTGGGTTCCAGGAAACAGTAAATCCTGGTTGGGTCTAAGCTGATTGCTTCCTTCTTAGTCACTCAGAGCTTTCCACTCTAAAGCCTGGTCCCTGGAGCCTGAGGAAAGGTCAGGAGTGTGGAAGTGGTTGGAAATCTGTAATGTGTGTGGGGATGCAGCTGAGGGAGTGTGAGGAGTCAAAGATATGTCTGCTGACTAGGACAATCATGATTGGAGCGATGGGAGGAGGAACTGGTTTGGGGGCAGAGGGACAGGAGGGAAATGATGGGTAAATCCCATTTCTTTAGTGTTGGATTCTCTCTGTTGAGATCCACTAAAACTCTTGACAACGTTGCCAGGTAACAGCACCCAATGAGACAGAATTGCTTATTTGTGGGTTGGTGCCTTAGCTCTGCTCAGCAATTGGAGACTCTCTCTGTCCAGGTTCTGGTCTGGACAGGCCCCGTGTGAGAGTTCAACTGAAGTGAACTAACATGGGCCCTCACATGAGCTCTTAACATTCTACTTGAAGAGAAGAGAATCTGACACAAGCAGTTAGACAACAATGGAAGGCACCAGAGAATTAAAGACCAAGAAGGGAGAGGGGAGAGAGCGTACTGTGGACAGGAAGTGTAGAGAGGTTTCCGAAGGAGCTGGGACAATGGCCTGGGCGAGGTTTGGGAAGCATTGCAAGGAAACAGAACAGCCTGGGGAAAGGCCTGGGGGTGGGCATGTTGGTGGCACATTTAAGTCAGGGATAAAATAGCAGGAAATCAGGCTGGAGAAGTCAGTGAGGAGGGGAATGGCGAAGGGCCTTCAAGTCCAGGCCAAGTGGTATGGGACTTTAATAGGCAAAGGGAAACTACGTAGTATTTGGTGCCAAAGTGGCAAACTACAAGACATTTCAGAGGAAGGCTTTGGTTGTGGTATGTGTGTACGATGGATTAGTGGGGGAAATCCAGAGGCAGGGAACCCAGCCAGGGGGCTTCTGAAACAATCCTGGTATTAAAGGTCTGAAACAGAAGTGAGAGTGGGAAGGAAGAGATACAATTTGGGGATCTTTGGAAAAAAGAATTGACAGATCTTGATGATGTGTCCCCTAGAGAAATCAGAAAGAAAGGATGATCTTAAGGTTTCCAGCCTGGAAAATGAGGCTCTGTAAAAATGTATAATTTTTAAAATAAATGACAGGCCTAACCGGTTTGGCTCAGTGGATGGAGTGTTGGCCTGTGGTCTTAAGGGTCCCAGAACTGGCCTAAGTTTTGCTTGTTTGACTGAACTGGTTTGTCTGCTCAGGGAATTTTCAAGTCTGGTCTCCATCTGTGCTGGATTTTAACAATGTTCAGGTACCCAAAAGTGCTTAGCCCCAGGCAAAGTAAGCATTCATTTCGCCATGATTATTAAATGCTGTGCATAGCATTTACCATATGTTTATTTACCCCATTTATTTCTTGTCCTCTATCCAAACTTCCTCCAAGTGCCTCTGCTTTGCTTCTCCAACCTTTGACCCCAGCAAACCCTCCTAACAACTGTGGGGCACCATCTATCCCAGCAGGCCACTCTAGGCCTCGCTCTAGCCCAGATCTCTTTGTGCTTTCTCCTTTTCCTTATCTCTCATTTCCTTCCAGACCCTTCCCTCTCTCTCCAGACTCTCAGCCTTTGGAGTTTGGAGGCTCGGATTTGCTCTATGTCTTTGGATAAGTAAGAAAGTCATCTAACGGCTGAATCTCAGTTTTCACATCTGAAAAACAGAATAACAGTACCTACTTCACAGCAGATAGGATAATCAAGTGTGACTGCTTTGTAAATTGTACAGAGCCTTATGCAAGCTAGCTCTGGCATCTCTCACCTCTAATCCCTTTCATTCTCTTCCTCTTCTTTCTGGCCCCAGTCTCATTTGTGGGACCAGGTACTCCTTGGAATTGAAAGTTAGGACGTAACTCCAATCGGAGTGAGTATTTGCTGGTTGTTCCCGCCTTCCACGCCCAGTCGAGCCAATCAGAGCGTCCGAAGAGTGGCGCGTGGCCACCTCCGCGGGAGCGCTCCCTTCCTTCTGGGCCGCGGCCGCAGGCCCGCTTTCGCCTCGCACCCCGGACTCCGGGCTTTGGAAGTGGGGGCATTCCTCTTCGCTTTCGCCTCGCACCCCAGACTCGGGCCTTGGAGGTGGGGGTCCTTCTTCTCCCTTTTCTCAACTCTTCAAATCTTGGCATCACAGGGTTGAACCGCGGGTACCGGAAGTGTGCCCTGCACCGGCGGGTCCCCCGCGAATCGACGCCGGAAGTGGCCATTGCCGGGGAAAGATTCCGCCGGCTCCGCTATGGCGGCCATCCCGCCCGACTCCTGGCAGCCGCCCAACGTCTTCTTGGAGACCAGGTGAGGGGGTCGCCTCGGGGCGGGGCTGGCGGAGGCGACTCGGAGCCCGGGCTTGTCCGCGGGGCTCGCTTCCCGGCGGCTCTCCTCCTCGTGGAGCGGCGGCCGCGAGGGCAGGTGTGGGCCGTCGCTGACCTCGTGGAGCGGCGGCCGGGGGGGGGCGCCTGATTGCCCTCCTCCCGGCCCTCCGTTCATTCATCCCTTCATGCAGGCCCGGGACGTGGGATCTGGCGCCTGAGGACACAGAGGTGGATAAAACACACAGCCGTGCCTTAGGGTGACCGTATGGGGAAGGAGACAGCTACTAGCATGTACATGTGAAGGGGATGAGCAGCACAGTTGTAACGCCATGCGTGTACAGCGGTTTAAGCAAGTGGTAAACACAGGGATTGGCACAGTTGCCCCACCATCACATGTGATGCAGCTGAGCCCCAGCCAGCCTGGGCCCTGCCCCAGGTGCAGACAGAGCTTCACAGTTAGTTTAATCCTCCCAGCAGCTCATGCCCTGTAGGCATTACTCCACCTTCTCTCCTCCAGGCTTAGCAGGGGAATGCCAAAGCTTACCGATCGAATGGCTCCGCCGAAGCCACACAGCTAGTAAGCCGGGAACCTCATTTGGAGCCTGGTGTGTCCTCCTCACGCGCTAGGTTCCTTGGCCTCGTTCATTCCCTGGCCGCTTTGGAAAAAGTCCAGAGCAGGACAAATTACCGGACGTGACTTCTTATTGCTACAACAACGTCATAGCAAAACTTTGTGGTCTGACATTCAAGGTGACTTTTTTCATCTGGCCTTTTCCTACCCCTGGCTCCACTTTCCATACCCCCATCAGTAGACGGGGTCCAGCCATCATCCCTCTGCCTTCCTTCTTTTCTTGTCTATGCTGCTCTCCACCAGAGCACAGTTCTGTCAGATGCTGCTTTTGTTGCCAAGCCCATTTTCCTTACCTTCTTATTATCTGGAAAAATTCTATTTCAGATACCAACTTGAAAGTAATTTTTGAACTTACCTGTTAACATTTAAAAAAACAACAACTATAAGATAAATCTAAATTTAAATCCAAGCAGTGTAGAAGTGTATTAAAAAAAAGCAGTGAAAGCCACCTCTCATGTAAAAATTTAAAAAAAAAAGTTTTTATTGATTTTTAGAGACAAGAAGGGAGATGGATAGAGAGAAACATTAATCCAAGAGAAACATCATCAATCCACTGCTTTCTGCACACCCCCTACTGGGCTTGAAACCTAGGCATGTGTCCTGACCAGGAATCAAACCGGTGACTTCTTGGTTTATGGGTTGACGCTCAACCATTGGGCCACACTGGCCAGGCTAAAAACATTTTTAATAGTTTGTTGAATGATCTTCCAGACCTTTTTACATAAACATCTCTCTTTTATGTTTTTTTTTTTTTTAACAAAAATAAGATCATATGATCATACTGTGCATATGTATGTTTCTTTTCCTGCAATTTGCTTTCCTTTCACTCACTAATGTATACAGTCTTCCATGGTATGAATGGCTCATATTTTAATCATTCCCTCTTTGAAGGTCATCCAAATTGCTTCTTGTTTTTTGTTATGACAAGTATTGGAATGAACATCCTTGCACAATTGTATCCCTAAGCACTTTAGTAATTTTTTTCTATAGAGTATATATTTGGTTGAAATTGCTGTCAAGAAGCATGCCCATTTCAGTATTGTATAGGTACTTCCTGATTGCCATTCTAAAGTCATTATCTGAATTTTAAAAAATACCCACCAGAATGTAAGCTCCCTGAGGGTGCCCCGCCCAGAGCAGTTGTCAATCTGTGTTCTGGCACTTACACACACACAGCAGGTCCTCGAATAAAGGTTCCTTTCCGTGTCCTTCCGTTGTAACGATGAGGGGAAAAGAGAGATTGCTATGCAAGGCCACTGTCTCCGGAGTTTGCATGTGCTCCCCATGTCTGCGTGGTTTTTTCTAGGTACTCACACCCCAAAGATGTGCACATTAGGTGAATTAGCATGTCTCAGTGGTCCTAGTCTGAGCGAGTGTATGTGTGTGTGCGCAAGTGTATCATGGATGGAAGGTGTCTGTCCAGTTTGGTTTCCACCTTGTGTCCTGAGCTTCTGGGATAAGGTTCCAGCCACTCAAGACCCTGCACTGGAATAAGCAGGTTGGAAAGCAATTATTTTAATTTGCTTTTATTAATCTTTCTTATGTGAATGTATAGCTCACATTTATTTCAATGTAAAATGTTAGAAGTGTTTGGGTCTTTTTTTTTTTAGAAATTTGGTGATGTTCTTATGATCAGAAGTATGCCACAGGGACTTACCTCTTATTTACATCAGCTAGCCTCTGGTAAAATTGATTTCATTATACATTCTTTTTTAAAAAAATATATATTTTATTGATTTTTTTACAGAGAGGAAGAGAGTGGGATAGAGAGTTAGAAACATCGATGAGAGAGAATCATTGATCAGCCGCCTCCTGCACACCCCCTATTGGGGATGTGCCCACAAACAAGGTCCATGCCCCGACCGGAATTGAAGCCCGGACCCTTCAGTTCGCAGGCTGATGCTCTATCCACTGAGCCAAACCGGTTTCGGCTCATTATACATTCCTTCCTTAAACGGCAGTTTCCAAGAACCTATCTATAGTATAGAGTGTTTACTTGCAGTGGGCTTGGCACTGGGTATTCGGTCTAGACAGAGTTGACCCCGTTCTCGAATTCCTGGAGTTCAAAGTCTAGGTGAGAGATGGAGGAGGGAAGGCACCTGGTCTCCATCTTTTCCTTCTCCCTTTTCCTTGGCAGTCCTTCAGCGGGGGAGTGCTCCTCACATTGGGTAGGCATAAAGATTTGAATTACCAGGTTTTGCCTTTGTTGAAGCCCCTCCTAAATACACACAAATTACCTTTCCCTCCCCATTAAAATATTTATGAATAAGTACTATATTTACGTGGTTCAAAAATATAAAGTTTAAAAAAGAGATTCATTGAAAATCTTCCTGTCTCCTATTTACCTAGTTTCCACCCCACCCAGAAACTTATACATGTTTAAATAAATATGAATTCCTGATACTTTAATGTCTTCCTTTAAAAAAATTATAAATTAAGTGTAAGATTTTTTTTAAATATATTTTATTGATTTTTTAAAGAGAGGAAGGGAGAGAGATAGAGAGCTAGAAACATCGATGAGAGAGAAACATCGACTAGCTGCCTCTTGCGCACCCCCTACTGGGGATGTGCCCGCAACCAACGTACATGCCCTTGACCGGAATCGAACATAGGACCTTTCACAGATCAACGCTCTACCACTGAGCCAAACCGGTTTCGGCAGATTTTTTTTTTTTCTTCTTCTAATTTGGGGGTTGGTTATATTAATTTCTGGTAATCAGAAATTTTTAACATATAAGGTGTTAACATTTTAGTTGTCTGTGTTGTGTTCATGTTATTTTCCTTGCGGTGTTTTCCTTGGTGAGTATGGAGTCTGATGTTTATCACAGTTTCATGACTCACATACGAGTCTGAAATTAGAGTCCTGGAGCAGTCCATGTCGTTCCTGTCTGCCGTGACCTTGTTCTTGACGGGAGCTCTCCCGCCCTCTTCCGCCTGCAGCATGGGGACCATCGTGCTGGAGCTGTATTGGAAGCATGCTCCGAAGACCTGCAAGAACTTCGCTGAGTTGGCTCGTCGAGGTTACTACAATGGCACCAAATTCCACAGAATCATCAAAGACTTCATGGTCCAGGGCGGTGACCCAACGGGGACAGGTACCGTTAAGCCAGCATTAGTTTCTGAAGTTTCATTCTGTTGTCACTGATGCAAGGCAGCAGGGCTCTCTTCCACCTGCCAGGGACAGGGATTCGGGTGACTATTGCTTTCCTCCCCAGCACACACCCTCCCCCAAACACACACGTGGGGAATTGACCAAACTAATCTGGACTCTTGGGCTTCATAGAGTTTCTCATAACTTCCATGTATTGCTTACTAAGAGCAAATAATATTACAGTAATGTATAATCTACTAATCAGAAGTAAAGGAAGACATTTTCAGTGTTGTGAGAAAAATAGAATACTGGGTTGTTTGATTAATTTGTTCATTTAATAAATATTGACCAACTGCTTTGTGTCAGATACTTTTGTAAGCTCTTGCGTAGCCATGAACAAAGAAAAAAACTTGCTCCCAATAAAGCAGGAAAAGGATGTGGGGATGTGATTTTAATAGCAAGGCCAGGGAAGTCCTCTCTGAGTAAATGCTATTAATGGAGCAGAGAACTGAATGAAGTGAGGGAATGAACTTTATGACTGGAGGGAAGAGTAGGCCCAGATGCCTGAGGCAGGAGTCCATGCAGTAGATCATGTAGGATTTTGTAGGACATGGTAGAGACTGGATTTTATTCTGAACTAGAGGCCCAGTGTACGAAATTTGTGCACTTGAGTTGGGGGGGAGGGGGCGTCCCTCAGCCCAGCCTGCATCCTCTCACAGTCTGGAAGCTCTTGGGGGATTTCTGATTGACGGCTTAGGCCTGCTCCATGGGCTGGTAGTCGGGCATCCTTAGCACTGCACAGAGACCAGAGGCTCCTGCCACCACCACTGCACTCCCCCTGTGAGAACACACTGACCGCTGGGGGGGCAGCTCCTGTGTTGAGTGTCTGCCCTCTGGTGGTCAGTGCGTGTCATAGCAACCAGGTTCCACCATTCAGTCGATTTGCATATTAGCCTTTTATTATATAGGACTAGAGGCTGGATGCATGAAATTCTACGAAGGGGCTCTGCCCTCACAGCCACGGTGGCTTGCCTTGTCTCTCACAGCCCCAGTTGTTCTGCTGTTCTGTCTAATTAGCATATTACACTTTTATTCTTATAGATAAGATGGGAACCATTAGAAAGCTTTGAGCAAAGGAATGACATGATCTGACATATGCTTTAAAATGCTCGCTCTGGCTGCGGTTTGGAGAACAAATAAAGGGGCAAGAGTGAGAGCTGGGAACCTGTTAGAGGGCTGCTGTAGTCATCCAGTCTAGAAGTATGTGGTTGGATGAGGCCAGTAGTGGAGAAAGTGGTGCGAAGTGACTGGATTGAGGTTATGTTTTGATGGAAATAGAGCCAATGATGTTTACTAAGGTTGGATTAGGGGGTGGGTGTGTGTGTGTGAAAGATGAAGGATGACTTCAATGTTTTTTAATAGAATTTAGTAAAGTGGGGAAGGCTAAGAGAGAAGCATGTTTGGAGGGGGCAAGATTAAGAATTTGGTTTTGGTTTTGGACACATTAAGAGAGGTGTTGAATAAGTAATAGGATATGAGTTTGGGATTTCATGGAAAGTTCTGGGATTGAGGTATGAATTTGAGAGTTACCATCATTTAAATGGGCTTTATTAACACTAACCTATTATCTAAGAGGTTGCTGTTTGATATAAAACACACACATATATATATATTATACATATATACATATATATATATATATATAGAATAATATAATATATACACATTATACATATATACGGAATAACCTGGCTGGTGTGGCTCAGACATTGAATGTCAACTCATGAACCAGGAGGCCATGATTTGATTCCCAGTCAGGGCACATGCCTGGTGTGAGCTTGATCTCTAGTAGGGGGCGTGCAGGAGGCAGCAGATTGATGTTTCTCTCATTGATATTTCTATCTATCTCTCTCCCTTCCTCTCTCTCTAAAAATCAATAAAAAAATATTTAAAAAAAATAGAATATATAGGAAAGTAGAAAAAAAGAACAAAAATTACTCTGAAGTATACCTCCTAAAGATTCCTAACAACCATTAACTTGCCCCAACATCTCACCTCTCAGAAATCATTAGTGTTCACTTTTGGTGGCCATTCTAGACATCTTTCTTTTCAGATACCTGTTTTAAAGGATGAATGGGTGAATAGCTGAATGGGAATGATTTAGAGAGTAGACTATGTCCTGCATGCTATTGTTTTTTTGCACAAAAGGTATTGTATTTAATTTTGTATACGTTTAACAGAAAAATTGACATCCTGCTATGAGAGATGAAGCAATTAGTACTTGAATTTCTACTCATCCTGACATTTACTAAAAGCTCTGTTTTGCATATGCATCCTCCTGTTTCTCCTCTGCTTTTACCTGTTTACACAGAACCCTTCACTTGTGTCACAGATATATGTTCCTTTTCCTCACAACAAGTCGTTCTCTGCCACACCAGCTAGGCGTCCTACCATTTAACTTAATCCTGACACTATCTACCTGGAGACCATGTCATATCCCACAGGTTAAGGGCTCAGTCCCACAAGACTGTCTCTTTCCCCACCCCCACCTCCACACTGTCTCTCTCCTCAACCCTCCGCACCCCCCACCTCCCACACACACACCAGACCACAAGCCCAGGTACAAGCATGTACTAAAGACCAGCTGGCTATAGGGGAGATTCCAGCGGCACCTCCTGCAGCCTGATTACTTTGCCAGAGCGGCTTATAGAGCTCGGGAAACACTCTGTTTACCCATTGCTGAAGGATAGTGGGAAAGGGTACAGATGAACAGCCAGATGAAGAATATATAGGGCGAGGTCTGGGAGGTCCCGAGTGCCAGAGCTGCTGTCCCCGTGGAGGTGGAGTGTGCCACCTTGCTGGTGTAGATGTGTTCGCCCACTTGGAAGCTCTTGGAACCCTGTACTTGGGGTTTTATGGAGGTTTCCTCATGCAGGCATGACAACTCCATTTCCAGTCTCCCCTCTCCGGAAAAGAGTGGGGGGTGGTGGTTCCTGGGGGCGGGGGCCAGAGGCTGAAAATTCCAAGCTTCTAATCATGGTTTGGTCTTTCTGGTGACCCCATCAGGAGCCCGCCCAGAGTCCCGTTATTAGAATAAAGATGCTCCTGGTGCTCTTAGCACTTCCGAAGGGTTTTAGGAGCCTTGTGCCAAGAATTGGGAACAGAGACCAACTTTCCAATATATTTTCAACGATCTCAGACCTGGCCTCCCTTCCTCACTCCCAGCTTCTGTTTTACTTTTCCTTGTCAGAGTTTATAGCATTTTCCTTCTACACCCTCTTGGGTTGTGCATTTCAGAGGTTTGGGGCTCACCACTCTGCTCTTCTATTCACAAGTGCTAGCAGGTAGAGTTTCTTGTTGAGCGGTTTTATTGCAAGGGCCTGAGGCTGTTACATTTTTAAGTAGGTCATGCTTGAGAATGTCTGCCTGTTGCCCTTATACTTGAAAAAGACTGTGACTTGGTGTGCTCCTCTTGGGCTGCATTCATTCCCTCAGATCTTCTTCTGAGGAAAATAGACATTCTGTTCCATCACCTTCTGATTTTGAACATGGCTTTGAAGAATTCTGAGATCAGATTTACTTCTTCAATTCAGGGAAGTTTTTTTGATTTATGTTTATGAATTTTTTTCTGTTATACCTATTGGATTTTCTATTTCAGGAGACTAATTCTTTGTTTCATCACCTTTGCCTTCTATATCACATTTCTTTTGAGTGTCTGAGATGATGTTTTTCCATATTTCCTTGCATTCACTGAAATAATCTCACACCTTTATTCTGTCCCTTTTTCAATTTTTAGTCATGTCTATTTTGTTCTTTCCTGCTCTGATTTATTTATTAGTGCTGTATTGGTGTTATATCGTTCTAAATCTGTTTCCTTAGTTCTGCAACCTTTTCTATTGATTTATTATCTTGTCTTCGAATTCGTTTTATTGGATTCTTATTTTTATTGACGCATCAGTAGCTAAGACAGCCATGGAGAAGCCCTTCTTGGATTGTTTTCTCACAGAATGAGCTCCCGAGGTGGCCCAGGCTCAGGGTCCCCTGAGCCCCCCCCCAGGTGGCCAGTGCTGGCAGCCCCCCTGCCACTCCTGAGCACTTGTGTGTGCGGCAGCCGTAGCTTAGCTTTTTCAGGGCTACTCACCCACTTCCTCTGGTGGCTTCTCAAAATTGGAGGGTTCTCTGGGTGGCACTCCTCCTTTCCTAGGAGGATTAGGGAGTACAAGCAGACGTGTTTTTTTCCTTGGCTGACTTTTCAAAATTTTTGGAGTAAGTTTGTTGTTTTTTCTTACTTGGTTGAAATTTTTGCTTTTGTGTGTGTGTGTGTGTGTGTGTGTGTGTGTGTGTGTTTGCTTCATCAGGAATTGGGAAGCGGGGGCGGGAAGAGTCCACATTCTTTACTTAAAAGTGTCCTGCCAACACTTTGATGCACTTCTTTCCTGTCATCTTCCTCTCTTTCATTGTTGTTATGAGATTTAAAAAAATATTTTAGATAATCCTTGTCCAAGGAAAATTTTCCATTGATTTTTAGAGAGACTGGAGGGAAAAAAGGGAGAGAGAAACATGGATGTGAGAGAGACACACCAGTCAGGGCTAGGAATTGAATCTGCAACCCAGGTATGTGCCCTTGACCAGAAATTGAACCCTCAATCCGTCTGTGTGCAGGCCAACACTCTTAATCACTAAGCAACACCAGCCAGGGTTTTATGAGATAAAATTTTAATTCATGTCAGCAGTGAACTGAGAGAGCCAATGATGAGGTAAAAGAATTAGAAATGACTCAGATGTGAGTTACTCATGCCAGAGCTTCATATATTTCTGTAGTTCTCAGACCTTCATAATGTCACATTTCCATGTAACTTTAATGAAATTAAACCACTCAAAAGATTTCAAAATAATTGTATCCAACCTTAAGTATAACGAATGATTGAGCTCAGCCTGCTGGCAGGTCTCTGGTTGAGAGCAAACAAGAGCTCGGTCACTACTTTGAACTGTTAGCTGCTTAGG